TGCTGATACTGAGATAAGTTACAGTTAATGGCCAGTTAGTGTCACGTTTCTTTAATTTGTAGCTCTTAAGTTTTACCTGATTACTGCAAAGTGTCCTTTTGACAAGCGTTTGTGTTTGCAGGATGTATCTTGGAAGTTGGAGGATTAGTACTCTAAGAAAACTATGAATTATAACTGTTGCTTACAATACTTCTGTTTCAGTTATATGCCTTCAAATATTTTGTCAACTTGTTTGGCCTTCATTTAGAGACTCAGATTAGCGCTAAATATTTTTCACACCAGCGTAGGCTCATCTAGTTTGATATTCACATTGATCCACCTAACCTATACGTTTATCCTGCTCCTTAGCTCTCTCACTTAATAGGTCTGACTTCTTGTTTTGAGAGTGCTAGAATCAATGACCCTATCATATTTTAACAATTCAAAATCTCAAGACAGGCAGTCATTGGGTTCATAGGGCCATAATTTTGCATTGTTGACTTCATTTAAAAGAAAACCAAAATAGAAAATTTATGTAATGGATGTACATGTACAAATATTTGTTAATGGCAGAAATTAATTATTGAAGATTAATATTTATACTTATTTCATGAAGCTATGGGGAATAGTTGTGCAAGAAAGAACATCTAGCGTCTATTAGAACTTTCTGTGTAAGTAAACCTTAGTAGATTTATAGATGTTGGTCAAATTGAGTATTGGTGTTCAGTTTCTATTCAGGTCGAGTTGATGTAGATAGTCTTGGTTTTGGGATTTATGGTTTGTCTGACTTAGAGGACAAATGTGAATTGTGAAAACATTTTGCATAAGGTTTCTAGGAGGGCTGCTGTATACTGTATAGGTTGCTTCCAAGGTGGAAGTCAGCTATAGAATATGAATGAAACTATAATAGCTAATAGGCCAATATGGTAACTGCAGTGTGATCTGTTGTGGACATTTTGCAGTAATCAGGTAAAACTTCCAAGATCATCCATCACTTGCCCTTCACTTTCCTCCTTCGATGGAAAGTTTCTTTTGTCATGCTAAGGCCAGATTGTAGCTTGTTGTCTTCTATTAGACCCAAAAAAAAAAAAAAAAAAAAAAGCTTGTTGTCAACATTGCCAAATTTTCATCCCACCTTTGCACTGCCGCAAGACATTGAAAGCAAGGAAGTTAATGGATTCCTAGACAGCCTCCATAACATTGATGTCAAGAATCCCTTTGATGTTGGTTAGTCAATGATGTTCAAGCCCCTACTTTACTCACCGGAGTCGAGTTCCTGTCACTGGGGGAGAATGATGCAGAATAATAAATTACGGATATTTTAATTTAGTTTCCTATTTGATTTATTATTTTTCTGTTCTTATTACTTGCCTGTTTCTAGTAGGAGTAGGATTACTTTCCTATTTGTAGTACTTTTTAGCAAGGTTAGGTCATTATAAATATTAAATACATGCTATGTAATTCAGTAGAGGCAGAATTGGTTGATAAATGAAAATTATCTCTTGCTTCAATGTTCTTCTAAACCCTAATCTCTCATTCTCTTACGTATTTCTGTTTCTAATCCTCTGTCTTCTTCTTCTATTCTTCTTATTCTGTATGGTTATTTCTCGTACTTACCCTCTATTTTTATTATCTTGAACCCTAGTTCTTCTTTTATTATAAAATGCCTCTCTATCTTCTAAACCCGAAGCTCCCTTTGTTTACAAGTATACCTATTGCCTACCCATCAAGTCATCAACCTACCTGGAATCTTAGGCGTGTTTTTGAGATATTGTTGGGTGGTCGGGTTTTCAAGATTTTTTTAGTCAATGGAAAAGTTCAAATTGGCAGCAGAATCTCAGAAAAAAGAGGACCATTTTTATAAGAACAGCCGAAGAAGTGATAAAACACCAGAGTGCTCTGGCAGTCCTTGAAGTCGAAAGATATCAGCCAGATGGGATCCAGACGAAGCATGCAGGGTTGCCATTGATGAAGCACCTGTATTTTATCCAACTATTGAGGAATTTGAATATACACTTGGTTACATAGCAAAGATTCGCCCAGCAGCCGAATCCTATTGTAAGATTGTCCCTCCACCTTCCTGGACTCCTCCCTGCCCTCTTAAGGAGAAACAGATGTGGGAACGTGCAAAATTTTCTACGCATATTCAGCAAGTTGACTTACTTCAAAACAGAGAGTCCATGAGAAAGAAAAGTAGAGGTCGGAAGCGAAAACGAAGGAGGCACTCAAGAATGAGAACCAAAAGATGTTCAAACATTGCTTCTGAGACAGATGAGATGTTCGGATTTGTTCAGGATCAGACTTTATATTTGATGAGTTTCAGAGATATGCCTACACTTTCAAGGAAAGTTACTTTGGAATAAAGGATGCTAAAATTCTGGTGAAACTAAAAAGAAAACATGGAAACCCTCTGTGGAGGATATTGAAGGTGAATACTGGCGAATAGTTGAGCAAACAACAGATGAGGTTGAGGTTTATTATGGAGCTGACTTGGAAACAGGAGTATTTGGAAGTGGGTTTCCTAAGGCATTGTCTGTGGTAACCGGAAATGATTCGGATCAGTATGCAATGTCAGGTTGGAATCTAAATCACTTCCCACGTCTGCCCGGTTCTGTACTAAGTTTTAAAATCAAGTGATATCTCAGTAGTTCTAGTCCCATGGTCTATGTGGAGATGTGCTTTTTCTTCATTTTGTTGGCATGTTGAGGACCACCACCTCTATTGTCTATCCCCTAACTTGGGTGATCCAAAAGTATGTTATGAAGTGTCTGGAAGCCATGCTCCTGCTTTGGAATGTGCAATAAGAAAGCATTTGCCCAATTTGTTTGAGGAACAACCTCGTTTACTAAATGAACTGGTCCCTCAGCTATCTCCTTCAGTTTTAAAGTCTGAAGGTGTTCCTGTGCATAGAGCTGTCCAACATTCTGGGGAGTTTGTTCTTACTTTTCCGAGGGCATACCATTCTGGATTTAATTGTGGCTTTAACTGTGCTGAGGCAGTCAATGTGGCCCCTGTTGATTGGTTAGAACATGGGCAAAATGCAGTTGAGCTCTACAGTAAGCAGTGTCGTAAGACATCAACTTCACATGACAAATTGTTACTGGGATCAGCTCAGGAAGCTGTACAGGCCCTTTGGGAACTATCAGTTCTTGGAAAGAAGACTACAAGAAATATGAGCTGGCAAAGTGTTTGTGGCAAAGATGGTATGCTCACGAGAGCAGTTAAGACACGAGTGCGAATGGAGGAGGAAAGACTAGATCGTCTTCCAATTTGTTTGAAGCCGCAAAAAATGGAAAGAGACTTTGATTTGAACGATGGGAGGGAATGCTTTTCTTGCTTCTATGACTTACACTTGTTGGCAGCTCGCTGCAAGTGCTCGCCTGACCGATTTTCATGTCTCAAACATGCAAAGCTTTTTTGTTCATGTGACATCAATCATAGATATGTCCTTCAACGTCACACTATCAATGAACTAAATATGCTAGTTGAAGCATTGGAAGGGAGATCAGAAGCCATAAAAGTTTGGGCATCCGAGGACACTACTGATACGCATACAACTAGACTGGATCATGAAAGTGGCATGTTTCATAAAAGAATCAAGTCTTGTGATCTAAGGGAAACTTGATCTTGTTGCCTGTTTCAGAAGAGAAGATGAACGTAAATGCATCTTGCATTTCGTCTAGTCAGGTTTCTTCTGCATTAGTCAGTCAGGTCACATCAATCCCGTCTTCCATGATGTTTGTCCGATGATTTTCATGCTCTGAGTCCGAGTTATTTGGGTAACAAATTATCAATTTAGCATGAAATGAATTTTTCACTCTGTTATTATTGTCAAGAGATGTTAAAGCCAAGTCCATAGACTTCCACTGACATAAATCTTCGTTATTTTTCTTCATCATGAATAATACTTACCTTTATCAGATCATTGTTGTGATATATAGATGCAAGATGGATTGCTCTGAATATGTTGTGCTCTGGTTATGATCAAGGTCTGGAATTTACTTTAATTTGTGTGAATGTTCTGTTCTTAGATTAAAAAAGGTCTGAACTGAACATTGATGTGTGTTAATCTTCACAACTACTTGTGTTGACAGTGTTGGTGCAGCAACTCTTCAACCTTATCAATCAGCTGTTGCTATAATAACAGGTATACATGGTGCAGTCGGTGCCAATCAATTGAAAATTATGTTGTGAGATATCAGCTTGTAAAATTAGTTCTTGTTTCTTCCCCATTATTTATTGACAGACATTGTTGTTAAGAATGAGAAAATTAGGTGAAGGGTAAATGGAAATATTGCACTTGCAAAACCATCTCCATATGTTGACATTCCCTTAATTGTCATTCTTTTCCAGATGTACATCTGGGACTGTTTATCATTTTGTTTCTCAGAAGTTGAAGGTCTTTTTCTTAAAGGTATGCAATTTAAATACTGTAAATTACCCAGTGGACATGCATTAAAGCTATAGCCTTTGGCAACTGAAACTCTCTCTCTGTGGTGAAATGTACTAGTCAAAGCTGAAACAAAGCTTGTGTACAGGCCCCTTATGTTGGCAAATTGATGGAAAAGGCCCCCTTATATTGGTAAATTTGTGGTAGAGGAGAATTCAATTTTCACCCCTTCCATTTTTTCCTGCTTCATTAAGTTGGTCGTTTCTTAAGTGACTCTATTGTATTCATTGATTTTCATGGTTCTTAAAGGTAGAGCAGAAGAGGATGGCAGGAGAGGGGTCCACAGTCAATTGGAGTATGCCTCCCATATTTGTATCATCTTTTACTTCAAAAGGGGTGGATTTCAATTTATGGATGATGCATTTTCATGAGAAATACATACAATTCTCTATCTGGTTCATAGCTTTGTACGGATATGGAAAATAACCAGGTAATACGGCCAACACATTTCTAATGAATATTGTCAATGGTTTAATATCATGCAGATCCTTGTATTTTTATTTGGTGGCCTGAAATTCTTATTCTTTGATGGTGTGGATGTGGATGTCATTGTAAAGAGAGGAAAACAGGGATGGGTAGTAGAAAATACATGGTGTACGCACGATAATAACCTTCGGACGTCCGTATAGGAGAAAATCTGTTTGATTCCCAAATGATTTATTATTTTGAATTCTCATTCCACTCCTCAATATATGTGTTGAATTTAAGACCTCTTTTTATGTTGTTGCAAAAGTTCGGTGCTATTTTATTGCATTGAGACATTGGAAGTGAAAATAAAACTCATGGAAATTGTAAGCTTGATACTATTTGGAAATGTTCTTAATTCAACAATTTGCAGTTCATCACAGAAATTGTTGTGCTTCAGATTAGCTGTGTATATTATGTTGTGGGATTATTATGGGTTTGTTGTTTCATGGGCTCTGTTTGGAAGATAGATAATGTACAAAATTGCTTATATAACCAACATTACTCTAAAAAGGCGTTATTGGCAAAGGCTTATCCTGTTATCCATTTGGGTCTTAACATAACATCAAAGAAGTGGACATGAGTAACAAAGGGAAAAAAGCAAAGAAGTGGACGTGAGACCGTGGTGTTTTCCCAAGTACTCTCCCTTTCTTGCCCACTGTTAAGTTGTTGCTTGTGGGCACATGGGGCCTCCACTCTTTCTTGCTCAATATGGGCTCTGTGAGTGCTTTGCTTTGCCCACGTGGGGCCCATCCTCAATCAACCTCTTAATGTTATCATGGTAATAAAATCGATTCCTCTATAACCATTTGTTCCATCAACGCAGTTTAGTCCAATAGAAAATAGTCTTGATTTGTTGACCAATGCTCTCAGGCTCGAAACTCCATAGCACCTTACTAGTGCGTGAGAAAATCCTCATTCCGCTTCTTGATTTTGGCACAAAAAAAAAAAAATAAGAAAGAAAGAAAAAGACCATTTGGTCTAGTGAGATTCAGTGTTACGTCGTTGGAGAAAGAAGTCTTCAGTTCAAATCTCATGTGTAAACGGTTGATACATTAACTATAAATAAAATAAAATAAAATAAAATAAAAGATTGGGATCCTTTAATTAGGATCTTCCATTGCAATTTGCATAGTTATTTCTATGCACATGTTCTCATGTTCCAATAATATAAATGCTTTTGCAACATCTGGTTTTCTTTGGCTATATTTTTATCTCTAAAAGGTGCAAGTGAGCATGCATAAAAACATCATTAAGGATGGTAGTTTTTGGCACATGGTTGCAATGGCTTTCAATTTACTCAAACTATCATCTTTCAAGTAATAATTTACAAAGGGGCGCTAAACTCAAAAGGTCTAATTATTATACGCTAATAAAGGATTCTCAAGGAATATTATGAATTTGGGTTGTACAAGGAAGGTTCTAATGGAAAGGCTTATTTATAGTAAATTAATTATAAGCATTGTTGGTAAAGAACAACGGCGCGGTCGCTTAATACAATTAATCATTGTAACGCCTATTGCTTTGTTTCTTTCACCATTAAATTTGAGTGCTTTCTCTTTTGTAAGATGAAATGAAATGGTACAACTTGCAGGAAAAAGATCATCAAGTGTGATAAAAGTGGGAATTATTCTAGCTTGCTAGCCTTGTTGATGGGTCACATTCAAGTAATTACCTAGCTCCCACATGGAAAATTAATATGTTGAAAAAGAAAAGAAAAATATCATTAATTCCATGAGGTTGAGTGACATGAGTCTTAAATTCTCCTTGGTGGGCTCCTTGAAAATTAATATGTGATGCATAATTTTTTTGTTATTAATTCAAGAAAAGGTAAAAAGAGAGAGACAGAGAGAAGCTTGAAGAAAAAAAGAGAGAAAGAGAAGAATCAATTGGGTTGGGTTGCTTAGCTGTTGACAGATAAAATCTATGGGTTAAACCACATGGACGACAGGAGATGTGTGTACATTCACACCACATGCCGACCCATGTGAATTGTAAACCCTTTTGTCTACATGTAAACTTTATTTTTCCAAATGGGATGTAAATTATAAAAGTCAGCCATTATTTTGCATATGTATATTTTCAATTTTCTGAATTCCAGATAAAAGAACAATGGGTGTTCGTTGGATTCTTCGAGGCCTTTGGTGTGCTCCGAAGAGTTCAAGTCTTTATGGTACCCGTGTGTGTGAGTGAATTTTCCCCCCTTCCTTTCTTAACTTTGCTATAAATAATCAATAAAAAAATTAATGATGACATTGCACCAGAACTTTTTTTTTTTCTATTTTCAGGCATCTGTTTGTCTTGTATGTGACGTAGTCGGTACAATACTAGAATAAATATATTACCATCACAATATATTTTGGTAATTTAACCGAAGCAGCAAACTGCAAAAGTTGGATTTTATCGAAACAACCCTGTTGCTGTTCTTGTATATTATTAGTTATATCAGTTTGTTAGATTTTAAGCCCGAAGTTGTGCAGCGGGATCTGGTTGCTGCTCTCACAAGTCACCTAGATTGGTTTTTCCTACAAGTTGTTGCAGTAAAAGACAACTTTGAAAATGGTAATTCATTTTATATCAAACAAATGACAACTCTAAACCCGGTATACATACATATACATATACACATATACACATTTGTATATACAAATTAATATTTTCTTCTCAGACTTATAATATATATGTATCTTTCTCGATTCATATTCGAAATTAGAGAAAATGTTAACCCTAATAAGGGAGGATGAAATATATTGATATAAGATTATGATATATTCGGGTTCGATTTCTTCCGATATAACCGAAAACATTATAGGAAATGTTAACTTAATTATTATTTAGATATCTATTACTCTATGTTATTCATACAAGGTAGCATCCCAGGATGGTATATGTGATTGTCCTCAACTTGTTCTTAATTACCAACGATCCTCATAATTTTGTGACTGCTTTGTTAATTATATAATGGCTGCAGGCTGCTGCAAATGATTCACATATGCATGCATGCCCTCATTTAAAAAGCAAAAATAAAAAATGTCCGAGAGAGAGAGAGAGAGAGAGGATTTTACTGCTGTAGGTAGAGAGAGAGAGAGAGAGAGAGAGAAGTGTAAATACAAAAGAGTGGGCAGGCAAGGCATAGTGGAGGAAGGCATCTCAGTCCAGAGGCCAGCTAGCTATAGCTTAGAGAAGTTGTACAAGGCATCTATATATATCTTCCAATCCAACTAGTCTACGCATTAGAGATATGTTCTGCCAGCTAAGCACACCCACATATATATATATATATATATATATATCTCTTATGTTATACAACCCAGTAAATCGAATTGATGATTTGTAACAGAAGCAAAATTTGATTTAAAGTAGGCAAAAACACGTTGCCAGAAGAGAGAGTTTGCGGGCAATCGGTTGTGATTCTGTCACATCGTTGCTTTCTAATAAAATACTATCACATAACTGGATTTGACAGTCACTAGTTAGTCGACTATGGCGTTCCAGTATCAACCACCGTCTGGTGTGCTACCATCAATATTACTAATATAGTAAATGCGTAAATGTATTGGATTATGATGTACAATTAGGATAAAAGAATTCGACTCAAAGACGAGTAAAATTTTAAAAGTTCGTTAGTGTTTTGTAGCTCAAGTGGTTAAAAATATTTATTTTTATATATGTGATCCTATATTTTGTTCAAGGTCTAAACACATACTCATACATTACTTAGTTTAATCAATTTTCTTATAAAGTTTAACATTGTGAAGAAAGTAACTAATATAAAAAATAGTAGCGATCAAGCGCTAATCGATTGTTTTAGCTTACTGCACTTAATTTTATAATCCAAACGGTTTATTTTCAAGTCCTTATTCAAAAATCATCCTTGCAAAAATACACACGAATTGGAAAACCGTTTAGCGATTTGGTTATTGAGATGAACATTTCATTGTTTACCGACAACATTGTGTCCGTATTTAGAAATGAATGGTTATGATCATAAGAAATATTATGGAGTAGATCAAAATAAATGACTATTATCGTATTAACTTGCTAACTGGTTAGTGCTCGAACATTACTGTATAAATAATAACTTTTTGGTTGATTGTGAGTAAAGTCTCAACGTCATGAATCATGGCGAAACAAAAAAAAAACAAAAAAAATTCTGAATTTTTAATTTATATTCTGCTTGTCTATTAAATATATAGCTTAAATGGTGAATATAAAATCGAAAGCAGAGTTTTTGGATCAAGACAGACAATTTTTTATTGACTATTATGGAGGCCGTAACTAATTTTATCATTATCATCAGTTACGTAAGATTCACCCTTGTCCCAAATAAAGACCAAAATATAGACGGTGCTCATTCCCTTGACGTCTTCCTTACTTGCCACTCCCACCTCTTCGTCTTCATTTTACCAAAATACCCTTCCTTTATCCCTCCTTTATTGCTTTTACTGATGGCGCACGCTACTCGGCTGGCCCAAAATTTACCCTTGTGGGATGTGGTGGGTAATTTCCATATTTAATTTTGTAGTGAAAGCTAATCATAGTGTATAAATACTTTGCACACAAAAGTTGATCTTCGATGATTTGTGCATTAAATTGGTTATTGATTGAATAGGGCCCCACTCACTTGCATTATATGTGCTGGGCAAAACCACTTGTTTCTTCAACTCAATAATTGAGTTACTGAATTGACTGCAAATTGTAAAAAACTTTCAATTTTTTTAATTTTTTTATTTTTATGTGGATCTATTTTCTCCATTGCATTTTACATGCATGGGTTCTTCTCCATTTTGTCTTCAGATCATTTATTTGATCCAAAAGTCCACCATGAGCATTAAAGAGTATTTGGAATTTTCAAAAAGATTATAAAGTTGCGAAGGTTCAGTTCAAGTTCAAGTGATTAAAAGTATTAGTTTCTGTATTCCAGATTTTAGATTCGACTTCAAATTCAATCATGATTCTTCATTTATAATAAGTAATAAAAATTAATTCTCTCAAAATTTCAACTTCGAACTCAAGAAACCCATTGAAAATACTAGTCTAACTTCTCAACTACAACCCAATTAAAAAAATACATTTCTCAACCTTTTGGCTCATCGAGTGAGCATATGAGGAATTATTTGCTCAAGTCAATGATGAACTTTTCATTGCTTGACTTTGATTTTTAACAATACATTATTCCTCCAGTAACTTTAGAATGTTATATAGTTTGACATGCTATGTTGTCAAATTTATAAACCATAATCATTTATTATGCGTATACTTAAACATACATATATGGTTTAACGTGTGAGTTCTTAACATGACATATAATCATTCATCCCTAATTACATCTTATGAAAGCATGGATGGTCTAAAATGTTAATCCATTATTACATATTAACACCAAATGCAAGAAGAAAAAAGAAGCTTGAAAGTCACAACAACCTTATCCCAAAAAGCAAGTCACTTTCAAGTTTAAATGCAATTTAAAATACGAAAAAGAAACGTAACATTTGTATACAATCGTGTCACGAAGTATATGTATGGCTACAACTTGATCTTGACAGAATTAGAGAGAAACATACATTATATTACAAAGCTAGAAGAAGCTAATGGTCCCAATAATGCCCAATTATTTTCACATCATGGGTGATGATTAGATCACAGCCATCGAAAATTCCATACAATTTATTAGGGTAGGTTGATAACCCAACTGAAATTGGCCACCATTTACTTCTTTTCATAAATGGCTTGGCCTAATAACATGACCTACATCTAACCAAGATTAATTCAATTCAACAGTGGATCCCACTACTCAAAATGTCTCTTTTAACATCAAAAGTTTTTCTTGCAAATTTTCTTTGCTCAATTGTGAGAACAAGATTTTGTCAAACTTCGTTTGTCACCATCACAAGAGGCCCCTTACGCCACAAAAACTACAGTCCCATTTCCACCCAACAAAGTTGAAAATTGGAGGATTCTTTTCTTGTTACAATTTTGAAAATTCTACATTTTTATTTGTGGACATAACTCAGTTCGTTGTACACTTGTACCTCCATTCATGTAATTAGAGGTTCGAAACCTCCATACACCCAATGAATTTGTGTAAACCCCCCTCCTCTCAATTGCTTATACTTAAAATAAAAAAAATAAAAAAAAACTATTTTGTAGAATTTTAGGGTCTAAAGTTTAACATTCAAAGTAAATTTACATAAAATAAAATATTGGTTACAAATGGTATAGTTTAAACAAGATGGCTCACTTACATAATTATGTACATATGTGAATTGTTTAGGTGTTTTTTTTTTAAAAAAACCAAGGGTATTTTGGTAAATACAAGATTAGTCAATTAAATATAAAAATATCTGAATTACATAAACAAACCCAGATCTCTCATATACCGATCCAATAAAATATACGTGAAATTAGCTTTCAATGATTAAAGGTCAATGCGACTCACGTTAGGAGTAAAATAGTAATTTCATGCCGATTGTGGGCAACGGCCACTGAAATCCAAAACAGCCCCCAAAAAGCAAAGACGAGCCTGAGCCTCACTTGTTCATCTCCACCAAAAATAAAAAGGAAAAATAAAAAAATAAAAAAAAGCTGACGTACATGGGCCGGCTTTTAACTAAATTTAGCTGGACAGACAAAAACCAACTTATTATCATCATCGTCTCTTTGCGCAGCTGTTAAAAATGTCTGTAACACTTAAAATACGTATTTTTCTTTTTCTGCAATGTATTTATTTATTTCAAATTTGAAAAAATACAACAAAAAAGACTAAAAGATTCCACAGGAAAAAGAAAGAGAGGATGAAAAAAAAAAGGAGTTATATATATATATATGCATATATAAAAAGAAAAAAGAAAAAACAACTTCCTTGAGATCGACAAGCAGATCCCCACCGAAATAAATTAATAACTTCACCCTACAACCCATCTTCATAAAACCCTTGTAGAGAATTATTCACCATCGCTCTCTTGTGTGATATATTTTTATTCTTTTTCTTTCGTATCTCCCTCAGCTGTAAGTTGTAATTGTTTTGTTTTTGTTTTAGAGAGAGAGAGAGAGGGAGAGAGAGAGAAAAAGGGATAGTTGAAGAGGAGGGTGAGAGTAAGACTACTCGTCGTCCTATGCTGGGGGACTCTAGTGTGTTAGGGAGCGCCATCAGCCGCGATGCTACCACCACAGCGGCTGTGGGGGTTCCCGAAGGCGGTGGAGGCGATGGTGGTGGCGGCGGTGGTGGCTCAAATTCGGGTGAGGACACTTTTAGAGGTGGGGGTGGTGGGGATGATTTGTTAGGGAGTGGTGAGAGGAGCTTTGGTGGCAACCGTTGGCCTCGGCAAGAAACTCTAGCTCTCTTGCAGATACGGTCTGATATGGACGTGGCGTTTCGTGATGCAAGTGTGAAAGGTCCATTATGGGATGAGGTTTCCAGGTTAATTACTATACTAGCTCAGCTAATTAAGATTAATTTTGTTTTTTTGTTTTTGTTTTTGTTTTTGTGGTGATTAATTGGAGTGAGAATTTTGAGCTCTTATTAAATTTGTGCTCATGGGGATTTGAGATCTGGGGACTGATGAATTTTCATTTCTCTGCTGTCTTTTGTTTGCTTATGATCTATTTCGAGCTCTTCACCTAGTTTACTCTTTCGGGTAATTTATCTATCTTTTTATTTATTTATAAAATTTTGAGTGTCTTTCCTCTGAGGGAAATTACAGCATGAACAATGGGAATTCATTGCCATGGAGTTGAGATTAATTTATTTTTACTTTTTCATATATTACAGAGAATATTATTGAGCTTAAATGAATAAATTCCACAAACATGGTTTAATTTCAATCTTACCAAGTAAATTAATACAGAATAAATTAATTCTTCCAACTTTGGTCATACAATTTCCAGGAGAGAGGCTATACAATTTCCATATGTATATATATATCTGAGTTGCTGGCTTGTATTTTATGTGTTCCAATGCTTTGTTTTGATGCTGAATTCAAGATGGCAAGTGTACAAACAGATATGGAGCTAATTTATTTTGTGCGGACTGTTGTTTTCATCAGGAAGCTAGCTGCGCTTGGCTATCATCGAAGCGCCAAGAAATGTAAGGAGAAATTTGAGAACGTCTACAAGTACCACAGGAGAACCAAAGAAGGCCGGACTGGCAAGTCCGAAGGCAAGACTTATCGGTTTTTCGATCAATTAGAAGCCCTCGAAAATCAACCTCAGACACCGGGAACTACTCACCATCATCAAGCAAAGCCTCATCATCAATCTACAATGGCTGCGGTCGCGGCAACAATGGCAACAATGGCAAGTACTATTCCATCATCAGCTGCACCACACCCTATAATTAGTAATGTGTCCTCTCAAGCTATTGCCGCACCAACACTCAACCTCGCAGCTCCCAATTCATTCCCACCAACAAACCCTATAGTTCTTCCACCACCGCCACAACCACCGCCGCCAACAACAACAAACCCTACGAATAATCCTCATCATCATCATCATCACAACACTTTCTCATCCTCTTTCCCAAATATATCCGCTGATCTTTTGACCTCTTCGTCCACCTCCTCTGACGAGGATTTGGAAGGGCGGGCGAAGAGGAAGAGGAAATGGAAGGACTTCTTCCAGAGACTAATGAAGGAGGTGATCCAAAAACAAGAGGATCTTCAGAAGAGATTCTTGGAAACCATCGAGAAACGCGAACACGAAAAAATGGTGAGAGAAGAAGCTTGGAGAATGCAAGAGATGGCACGAGTCAATCGAGAACGCGAGATTCTAGCCCAAGAGAGATCCATCGCAGCCGCCAAAGACGCGGCAGTCATGTCATTCTTGCAAAAGATATCCGAGCAGCAGCAAAATCCAAACCAAACCCCGCCACCGGGCCAATCACAAATCAATAACAATTTGCTGCAACTACAGCCACCACCACTAGTGCCTCCTCCTCCGCGGCAGCCTGCACCCCCACCACAACCACAACCACAACAGCCCGTGACTAATTTTGACGTTGTTCCAAAACCAAACAACAATGGGGGGAATAACAATTTGAGCTCGCCGGCAAGCTCATCAAGATGGCCAAAAGTGGAGGTACAAGCATTGATCAAGCTAAGAACGAGCCTCGATTCAAAGTACCAAGAGAACGGGCCGAAAGGGCCGCTATGGGAGGAGATCTCGGGGGCCATGAGGAAGCTTGGATACAATCGGAGTTCGAAGAGGTGCAAGGAGAAGTGGGAGAACATAAACAAGTACTTCAAGAAAGTAAAGGAGAGCAACAAGAGAAGGCCCGAGGATTCCAAGACGTGTCCCTACTTTCACCAGCTGGATAGTTTGTATAGAGAGAGGAACAAGTTTGATCACAACAATGTGAATCCTAAGCCCGAAAATTCGGTGCCTTTGATGGTGAGGCCAGAGCAGCAATGGCCACCTCCTACTCCGCAGCAGCAGCAGCAGCAAGATCATCAGAACATGGATATTGATCATCATCATCATGATCATCAGAACCAAGAAGACGATCATCATGATCATCAAGATAAGGAGAATATTATTGGTGGTGATGAAGATGAAGAAGAAGAAGATGATGATGATGAAGAGGATGAGGAGGAGGATGAGGGGGATGGGAACTATGAGATAGTGGCAAACAAGCCAGCTCCAGTGGGTGCAGCCGCAGCTGAGTGAGTTGAGAAAAAGGCCAAGATGGATTGAAAGAAAGAAAGTGGGTCTCAATGTGGGTCAGGTTTTGCAGGGCTTCCGGACGGGTAAGTGGGTCAAATGCATTTGGCGGGTCCTGAATTTTGGGTGGAAGTATTGATAAGAAAGTATACACAAACTGGGAAAGAAAGGTAAAAAACAAAGAGACATGGTGAGGGAGGGAGAGAGGAGGGAAGCTAGGGGTTGATATAGGCAGTGAAATCATAGTTTGTTTATTTTATAATTTATTTTATTTTTTTCTCTAAATAAATAAGGTCATGAAGAGGAGATAAAAGGGTCATCAACTTCAAGTTCCAGAAAACAAATAATAGACACTGTTAACTAGTGTTGTAATTTTGCTTTTGCTTTTTTTGTTCAGGGGATTGGTGGTGTGTAAATGTGAGAAATAGTTATAATTTAGTCTTTGTCGTGGTCTTTTTGTCTTGCTTAATTTGATTAATTTTCCTTAGCAACAAATCCATTTTCATTTTCTTTCGCATAAATTTTAACTTTTTTTAATTTGTTACTACTTACTAGCTCTGTTAAAAAAAACGTATATATCATGACAATAACACTGTTTAATTATCCAAATCAATCACATTCCGTTACGCGTTCTAACTTTTTCAAATAGTAGAACATGATTAGATAGTTCTTCTTGTTGAGACGGGGGATGACTGAGATGATTCAATAATCTCTCTCTCTCTCTCTCTCTCTCATATTAGGTTAAGGGTTTGAGTTAATGGTGTTGCAGACAAGTCAGAAGATTACAGGGAAACCCTCTATTTAGGGCTGTGATTTATATATGTAGTGCAGGAGCTTAAAACGAGGGGACAATTAGGTAACCCTATGGCAACAGAACCTATCCACACTACGCCAACAGCACATGGAGCCATGGAGCCTTTCATATATGAAGGGGTCCACCAAAAGGAATCTCGATCCTTTCCTTGGTTCGTAGGCCTTACTTATTTACACTGCTGTCTGTCGATGTCGTTTAATTTCAATTCAATTCATGGATGTCAGTACCAGAAAAGGACGAAGGTTCATAGTTTAATGCGCTCCTGTACCTTGTCCTTTTGTTTATTCAATCATTTATTCACTTTGCTAGATGCCTCATCTCAATATGCATACATTTTCTAAAGAAATTCAGCTACATATTAGTTTTTTATATGGTCACATGATGAGTCGGTCTGATTAAGTAACATTTGAATTGTCCACTTCAAGGAGTTTGAGATCCAAAATTTCAGTCTAGGCCACAACAAAGAGGAGTTGGGAATTTGGGAGGAGTTAACAAAATATTTCCTAGTGTAGTCTAAGTATTTGCAAATCATGTACTAGGTATAAACTATATATCGGTCTAATAGTATTTTTCTTTCACAGTTTTGAAAGAGATTCTAAGTTCGTATACTCCTTTCTCAACAATTAAAAAAGAAAACTAATCATTTGTTAGAGGACCGTTATGCTGACTTTTTTTGTTGTTGTAGGTAAAAAATCTTTTTTAACCAGAAAAGAAAGTAATTTGGGGATTCATAGCTCTCTCTAGTGGAATAGTATTACCCTACACTCATGGAAGTAGTTCAATTCTTACTCTTGTCGTAGGTAAAATATCATTTTTAACCAAAAAAGTACTTTGGGGATTCATAGCTCTCAATAGCAGAATAGTACTTACCCTACATTCATGGTAATAGTAGAATAGTACTTTGGGGATCTTACTGCCTTCATTAAGAAAATACCGTAAGTTTCTGGTATTCGAAGATGTGCCCCACAAATTGATTGGCCTGGCCATATGGATATATACGAATAAATATTCTATTGCGCAATGCTACAGTCTAAGACATAAAAGCTAATGTTATCACCATACATGCAGAAAAGTCTTTCTCCCTCCTCAAATTTAAGTGACAGCATCAGTCTCTTTTGGAATGATTATTCACTTTATTGCAGAGATTGTGGTTCTTTTGATGCAAAAGAAACTCTTATGGCTTTCATTGGTGTTGGTTCCATTTGCGAACCAGTTAACCTTACCAAGAAGTGATAGCTGTAGTCTTGCAAACGTACGTTAATTAGGCAAATTTTGATACATAAAAAACCATCACAAATATTGTGTCTTCAAACAATCTCACAACTTATGGATTGCCAAATTCTTGTTTGAATTTATTGTCCAAATCTAACATAGAAATAGAAGTGATGATAACACAACTTTATCTAGTGGTATCTGTCTCCATTTGATTGGAGGAGGTCTCATGTTCGACTCACATGAATGACGAGGGGCGCTGTATAATATATTTATGATGAGTTTGTTGATAGATGGTTGTGGCTAGGCTCAGCTTTCTTGTGGGTGTATTGGCCGGTTGTAAAATCTTGTAAATAGGTCATTTATGCAACAAAACAAAAAACTTATTTCCTAAAAATTAGAGAAATATCTCGTAGACTCATTTTTTATTGTGCCTTGTTTTGGAAATTGATTTTTTCTTGTGCCTTAGACCCATAATTTGAAGCATTAATTTTGTTTCATAATGATAGAATATTCTGATAGCAGTCTTCATAGAAAACACATTAATGGCAGGGGTGTCAAACAAATTCATTATTGCTTCCATGTGTTTTTACATACATGACTTGCAGGGAAATGGAAGAACAAAGAAGATTAGATTGGGTTTTCTATTTAAATTAGTGGATTGAGTGCAAGTTTAAGATCTGGGGGAAAGGACTGTAGAAAACCCTCTTCACAAGGTTACATGATATATCTGTCTGTGTGAGTCATGATAAAGAAGTAGAACACATATGCACATAACAAGCGAAGTATCTATCAACACATCTCATGTCCTAGGCTTAGAGTACCCTTAAAATAAGCAAAATTCATTTGGCAAAGGTGAAATTTGATCAGATTATTTTTCACCCACAGAATCTGTGGATATCTATTGATGTGTTTGATCTTATGGTTGTTCAATCTGTCACGAAAACCAGTATATCCTTTTGAGTGATAAAGCTGTCAAGATCCCATCGTCATCTTATGTGCACAATGTTAAGAATTTCCTTATTATAATTTCTTTCAACGATTAAAACTGTCTATATTTTACGTAATCTTTAAAAAATTATCGATACAAAAAACTCATGTCCACCGGAAATTGTTTGATCACTATAATATGTACACACACAAAAAAGTAGTTCATTAGATAACATAAAACTAATACAAAAAGTGGATATGCTTAGATAAGTTTTGAAAGAAAACCTAAAAACTTAACAATATTCTAATCATTAGTTTATTGGCCAGATATAAGATCTACTTATTTTAATGGATTTTGCTTTCCCCACACTCAAAATGGGTTATTGTCATTGTCCAGTGGAGGGTAACGTGAAAGTGCCATGGATCATGTGGGAAAAGGGGGCTTGGAATTGCATGGAGTTTAATAACCTGAAGAAAATAGACACATATGTACAAGAAGCTTCAAATCCCACAGAGCTTTAGTTTTGGCTTTTTGTGTGTAGGGGTGAGACTAGAACACATACATATTTCTTTTCATTATACACACAAAACCGTTCAGTTGTGGACTCGTGAAGTTTTAACAAAGACAACTCCAAATGAGAGTTTATAAATATTAAGCAATGATCAGTTAATTTTCTGAGTCTGTCCGGCGGATGTCTGTACAAAAATGTTCTTTTGTTAAACTGTTTAATAACATAAAATCTTTTATCAGATTGTGAATTTGAACCATTGATCATCTTGATTCTTGTTTGTGGTCCAAATTAATAATCTGACGACATAAACATCTATCTTATGTGTGACATTATTAACATTGCTACCCTTCAGTGGAGAAATTGTGGATTGGAGATTTGTCATTCAACAGAAGTTTTGTCAAACAACATGAAGGATTGTATGAACCTTATAGCAAGATATTCAGTCACATTCTACATTCCATTTAGGGGGACTGGGATTTGTTGGGAAGCTTAATCTAAAAGTCCTATATATGCAAATACTTGGACTATTGACCAACTCATTTTAACCAAGCAAGTAAGAGTAAGAGAATAATTTTTCAAGCTGTTCTCTTGCACGTCTGCAGAATATTACTTGTTGCTGCGAGCTCTATGAAATCAAACGATCATATTATTTTTGTGTCATAGTTTTGTGAGATGTTCATCGGCTGTCAACAAAGCGGTAACAAAAAAGAACTTCGATGCGCCGACATGGATGGATAAATATTTCTGAACTTTCCAGTTGAAACTGGAAAATATATTTTATGCACCACACGTGGAACCCATTGTGGTGGCCGTCCATTTGATCTTTTCTTATTTTAATCAAATATTATTAATATTATTATTATTATTTTATAGATGAAATCAAATATTCATACTAATTAATCTTATATTGATTGAATTAGTGGAAGTTAATTATAAATTTAATTTTAAAATTTTCTCATTATTGTATGTATGTGCTGTTTATGCGAGACAAGTGGATGTGGTGACAACAAACTTGTTGCTCCTCTTGAAAGATGCCCATTTCGTTGGATTGGCTCAGACTTTTGATGTGTTTACAAGTGGTCCTGAGTTCAAACCTCATGATACCCATGTCGTGTGTGTGAGTTTCACACCTACCCCTTTCTAACTTTGACAAAAACTAAAAAAGATGCCCATTTGGCGCATTTGTTTTAATATTCACACGTAGTTTTTGCTATTTGCAAAGCTTGAAATTCGAAATGGGTTTTGATACGATTGAGCTTAAGATATCAAAGACAAGGAATAATCGAAGCCACATGTACAGCCAAATATGGAGTTGACGGCTGCAGTTTAAACTAAATTGAATTGAACACCAAACTTGGCTTCAAAATAATGACGACGGCAGTGAACAGTTGTTCATAGTTTTCTAGATTTGCCACAGTTTCTTGTTCATATATAATTTCCTATACATATGCAAACCCATAAATCATATTATTATATATAAAGGATTTTGGGGGTAATTTATATTTTGTAGTTTGCAGTACTGTAAAGATTCTTCACCTTTTGGAATTAATGTGGAAGACCATATATCATGATCAAGTATAATAAGGCGGCTTGCCAGCTGACCACAACAAGGCTCCATTGCAACTTGCAATTTCAAGTAACATTATGATGTGTGAGTGTGTGGATATATATATATTGTAGTGAAGTTCGTGAGTTCTTAAAGGGTTTAATTCCAAGAGTTTAATTTGAGTTGATATGTTGTGGGACATATAAAAAAGGTGTTATACTCTTAAGGATAATTTAATTATTGCAATCAAAAGCCCCCACCCCCACACAACCCCACAAGGAAAAAAAGAAAAAGAAAATTTATTTCATGAAAAGAGGTATTCAAAGTAAAGAATGGTTGGCCTTATTACAATTGAAAAAATAAAGAAAAAGAATTACGAAAATCCTAGCCCCCTCTCTCCTAAAAAACATTCTACACCCGTTTTCATTTTGAGGG